TTCATTGTTGGATCTCTTATGGAAGTTATTTTTACATTTTTTTTTTTTTTTTCATTAATCTTAGTCTTTGTTATATATTGCTCTCAGTTATAGTATACTTTTGAATATTTCTTTTTTTCTTTTTTTGGGGGGAGCTTGATGTTATCGATTTTAATATGTTTCTTTTTAATATATTTAAAGATTTTTAAATATAATCTCGTGACTATAAGTTTTTATCCTCGAGCGTCTTTCCATTTACTGACAAAGATTTTTTAGATTTTGTTATGTTGCAGGCATTAATTTTAATAACGAAAATAAATAGAATTGTTGTTGTCAATTTTCCTGAGTTTTTTTTTTTTTTTACATCGGTACATTTTTTATGTATCGATGTATTGTTAGATAAATATTTTTGAAATCTTTTATAGAAACGCTATTAGTACAGCACCATATATTGAAAAAAAAAAAAAAAAAGGAAAATGTCACAATATTTATCGTAAAAATATTTTCCAAGCTTTGACTTGATATTGTTACATAAATTAAAACGGCATAGAAATAAATCCAATACGTGGTATTTTATACGAAACAAGGGAACGCGCTTTAGGCAGTTGGCCGGGAACCGATGAAATAGAAATTTATAACGGTAGGAAAAAAAAAGGAGAGAAAAGAGGAATGGTGGAAATCTGAAAACTCTTGGTGAAACGCGAAGTTTAAATAAATGTAAAAGGAAAAACAAAAGGAGAACCCTTGCGCAGGGGCTGGAAACTGGTAAAAAGGATGGAAAAATATACGCTAACAACTTGGTTGAAAAAACAAAGAACAAATGATAAAAGCTTCACGGGCGAGAGAAACTTCTTACTTAATAATAATAACGTCATTAAACGGGCAAAAGTTTTTTTTTTTTTTCTAATCGACGCACCAATGAATTGAAACAACAATACTTTCACCGTCACACAATAAATTTAATAGTTTGAGAAGGAAATCCAGCAATTAAATCGTTGCTCGTCCCCAAACTGAAACCCGTTTCATCGAGATCCTGAAACGTGTTCGAAAACGAATTTCGCCCCGGCTCGACGACAAAAACGGGATAAAATTCCAAGGTGTAAACAAACGGATGGAACGAAGAAACGTGTTAAACGGGGAAAGAAGAGAACGCGTTTCTCGAGAATAAAAAGAGAAAAGTGGAGGGAGGAAAAAGATGAAAACGAAGGGGGAGGAGAGGAGAAACTGGCAAGGAAAGGAGAAAGAGAGAATTCAGAGAAGAAGGAAGAGGAGACTGGAGAAGGAGAGGGGGCGAAAGAAGAGGAAGTTTTATTTCAACGAAAGCTTGGCGGAGGGGTGAAAGCGGCAAGGACAGACGGAGGAAATACATAGCCGGATAAATACGAGGGGTTGCGATTCCTCTTTTCTGCTCCTCTTGTTTCCACTCTGATCTCCCCCTCTCTCTCTCTCCTTCTTTCGCTCGAAAACTCATCCCTTTCCGCTTCTATCGTATCCGAAGTGGCTTGTCGAGCGGCGACAATGTCGCATCGATTTTATCAAAAGTCCAAACACATCCGATTAAATTCAGTTAGGTGGACGTGTAGACGGACGCCTTTTGAATCTTTATCGAGGTTAGATGTATATGTATATATACGTGAATACGTGTAGAGGGGATGTATTCCTTAGCGGCTGAAATGGATGTCTGGAAATGGTTGGAATTTCGGCGAATTAGCGATCTCGAAGACAAGCGTTCTCGAGTCGAGTTTTATTAGAAATTCGACGACGAGAGCAGTTCCACGAGAGCCTTTTAATCGAAACGATAGTATTCGTGAAAGCAGCTTGCGTGCAAACACGTTCCGCCGTGCTGTTGCGTTTAAATTTGTTGATTAAATGTATACGTAGAATTTGTTACGTTGTTCGAGAAAACCGTTTAATCCTTTCGTGCACGGGATAATAAAAAACGAAAAGAAAAATTTAAGAGGGATTTTAATTTTAAATATGTTTTTGATCGAATATTCGTCCAATTTTGTTGAAACGAATCGATCTCTTGAGAAATTTTGTACCTCGCGTATTATAGATATTTTTAATTTCGAAGCTACTACTTCTTAGTAGTTTCCCTTCGAAAGATTTTCTATTATTTGATACCTCGAAAGCTTCAATCTTCAAAGCTTCTTTCCACTTTCTTCTCTCTTTTCGAAAAATTTCTCTATAGTCATCGTTCGAAGTTCCCACTTTTTATTTCTTAACGTTTCTCAAGAATTCGCTCTTCCGAATTTCCCTCCTATCGCACAAATTTTTGCAGCTGAATTATCATAATTAAAATTTCCCGGTCGAAAAGAAATTTCATCAGATAGATCTTCTTTCCAGTTTTCTGGAAATCATCAAATAAAAACGTTCTTCTAAAAATGTAATCGTTGTTCAAACTTCAAAACAACGAACTCTGGTTTCGAAGCCGTTCCCAAAACCGTTATTTCGGGTTATTTAGGTATTCAACTGGCGATGTTGAACAATTATTCACTTCGCGGTGGATGGTGACACTCAGTATCCAACTTTATTTTCAGTTACTACGCGTCCACCGCTTTTCCACCCCGTTTGGCGCCACCATTGAAGAGACCCCGGCTGATGCCACCGGCTCGATCCCAACATCCTAAACAACAGAAGCAACAACCCGCCACGAACACGGCAACCGTACCCGATCTG